ATACATACATATATATATATATATCCTATTTATTGATTGTATGAAGAGAAATAGATGAGAAATATGGTAGAGAGAAATAGAAGAGAGAGAAATAAGTGAGTAGAAATATGACAAAAATAAATTTGTTTGATTTAAGAAAAATATGTAAAAAATAATAATATTATAGAATTGTTTAATTTGAATAGATGAAAAGGTTTGGTGTTTCTCTATCATGACAGTATTTGGTGGTTTTCATGTATTTTTGGTGGTTCTCTTAAAAGAATGTTTTATGGCTTAAAACAATCGATTAAGTTACTTATATTATATAATTTAATATTTGAATTTGTCATTATTGTTATGTTATTATTGATTTAAATTGTATTTTATTGTTCCAAATGTCATTATTAAGACACATGATGTGAAATTGCCATTTTATTGCAGATTATTTAAGATGTCAAGAGCCTCTAGTGGGAGAAAAAAAAAGGTGGAAAACAATAAAAAGTTCAAGAGGAAAATGAAACATTTGTTCCACAAAAAACACTTAATTAGTAAGATCTTTTGCTATTGAAGAACAAATGAATACATATCTTGATGTTTTTTATGGATGAGTTTTTGTGGAACTAAAGATCATAAATCTAGATTATTTTTAAAGTAGGAAATTCCAATTTCAACAACTTTTATAATATAAAGAGCTTGAAAACTTTGTTTTACTTGGAGAAAGATACTCTCCTAATTTAGTCAAGGTTTTCTATGACAAGCTTACCATCTCTAATGTTGGCGTATTGTACTTAGAATTTAAAAATGTCAAAATATGTGTTATGTCACTTGATTAGTTAACAATTGTCAATATAAAGTATGAGGGGAATAAATTTAATATTGTCAACCTTAATCTATGCGAGAATTATGATTGTAACACTACATTGACAAGAATGAAATGATTAAACTTAAAAAGTGCATGTAATTTATCTATGGGGATAGATTGTTGCGTTACATTTTTGTTCACACATTAGTACCCCAACCAAACAACTATGCATTGCTTACTAGTGATGGCATATTTGTTTTATGGGTTATAAAACAAATGATTGCAATCAATTGGCCATATTATATATGTCAACACATGAAGAAATGCAAAGAAAAAAGTGGCATGTCTCTTTCATATGCTAAACTTATTTCAAAAATATTGGAAAATCATGACATGAATATGATTGGAGATGATGAGATTAGACCTACTTAGACTAATTATTTTAAGCAATGTATCCTAAATAAATAGAATATAAAAAATGTTAATAGTGTGTAAATGGTGATGAGTAATTGTACATTGAATAAGATGCTAAAGATTAAAGTGAGGGTGAGGGATAGAGTGATGTTATCCACCGTGGACCACATTATTCCCAAGATAATGATATTTTAATCGATTTTTATGGTGGCATTCAAGGCTCACAAATTGGATTAGAAAATTAAATGGTCAATGTGTAAGTCGAATTCAAAATTTGACACAAGATTTAAAGAATTGGACAATAAGATTGAAGGACTTGGGAATCTTTACTCATACAAATCATCTGAATAGCTCATGACTTATGTGTATCTGATTATGTTTTATGTATGATTGTTTGGTTGCCAAACTTAATTCTACTGTTGTTATAATTTTAATCATCTTTATATTTGTATTATGATGTGTGGAATTATGTTATGCGTGTTTTATTATTTATTTTAATTAAACTCTATTAAATCTTGTATGTTTATATCATACACTTTAATAATAATGTATAAACACTAATTATACTATTTTTTTCATTACGCTTTAGAGAATAACAAAAAGTAGATTATATTTTGAATATGTAAGAATAAAACATATTATATGTTTGTATTTGATTGAATACAAATTTTATTTGAATAAAGCAACTTTCAAGGAATTATTTATTTATTTGTATTCAAATAACATAAATGTTATCATATTACAACCTAATAAATAAGTTTGGTTGACTTGAATAAAAATTTAACTTAATCAATTAAAAGAAAAGAAGAGAGAAACTTATGAATACTAGGTAGTTAACTTTGAAAGGATAAAATGATTATGTTTTTCTCTAATTATAATTTCTTTCCTCTCCATCTATTCAAACCAAACAACTATATAATATTATTTCTCTTCTATTTCTTACTTATTTTTCTTAAATCAAACAAACTTAGTTTCACTTTATTTTTACTCATTTATTTCTTTTTACCTTATTTCTTACCTATTTCTCTCCTTACAATCAAACACAATGTAGATATCATTGTTGTTAAGGCCACCGACCCGTTGCACTGTAAAATATAGCAAATTTAAAAAGACTACATAAGATAAGTGGAAAACAAACAAATTCTAGACAAATTACCTTATATAAGTAATGTGTGATTGAGTGAGTTTCTTAGGTTCAAAAATCTGGTTGAAGAAGAGATACAACAACTAATCCCAACTAGAGCAACATATTCACCCGTCCAAATTAATATTCATCTTCAAAAGTAGATTAACACATCAAAAATCTATTGAGATGCTCTCTACTTCTCTAACTTATATGTTGCATTGATTTTAGATCAATTACATATAACTTTCTATACACATTATTCAAATACAACCAAATAAATGAGTTCTTAGAAGTTGTTTTATTTGAATAAATTGAATATACAATTAAACAAATCCCTGAAATACCAACTTGGATTAACACAAGAGACAAAAGACTCACATCATTTAACTAAGTAATCAGGGATCAAATATTAACTCTTGTGATTACAAAAAATTCAAATTAAAAGAAAATGTTCACTTATTTTATATTTATCAAATCTCCAAGAAAAATTGTCCCCATATTCGACAAAAAAATTCTCATTGGTAATGAACACAAATAAATAAATAAGTCATTGAAATATTATTTATTTGAATAAACATTTCAATAACTTATTTATTTAGTCATATTTGAATAACATGAATGTAACTCAATTACCACTAAATAAATAAATTTAATTTATTTAAATGAAAATTAAATTTAATCAATTAAATAAACAATATTTCAAGGACTTATTTAATTAGTTATATTTGAATAGCATGAATTTTATTTGATTACAATCAAATAAATAAGTTTGATTTATTTAAATGGAAATTTAATTTAATCAATTATAAGAAAAGAAAAAAAAACTTTAAAAGGGTAAAATGATAATTTTCTCTAATTATAATTTTTTTCCTCTCAATGTATTCAAACCAAACAACTCTACAATATTATTTCTCTTTTATTTCTTACATATTTCTCTTATAAACTAAATAAACTTATTTTTACCTTATTTCTACTCACTTATTTCTTTCTTCTATTTCTTTTTAGAGTTAATTACCTATACACTACTAGTGTAAAAAAATTTTACACTAGTAACCAATCATATTTTTTAACAGTAACATATCAGTTACTTATTTAATAAAATAATAATAAAATAAGTAACTTTAAAAGATATGATTAGTTGTCAGTATAAAAAACTTTATACTGGCGGTGTAAGGATGATTAACTCTTCTTTTTACCCTACTTCTCACTTAATTTTCTCCTCTCAACCAAACAAGTACTTTCTTTGAAGGAATGACGACGCTTGAATTACCTCCCATTGCAATATTCCAACCAAAGGCATTTTCCCCGCATAGATTTTAACAAACATTTCAGTAGCCAAAAGGAAGGAGAGAACCATTAAATTAAGAGAGATGATAAAAGGCACTAGAAACAACGTTTGGTTTGCGTTCGTGTGCTAAATTCAAGTAAATTACATGGTGACTAGAGTTGAAGGTGCTGGTTGACGTTTAACACCTCTATTTACTATCAATATGCTTGAGCTTAAATTAAAATGCTTGAACACAAAACAAATCATTCATGAGCTGAGGGCCTACTATTGACTCTGCTGCTCTGCATTACCTACACAACTAGCATCGTACAACAAGCAAATGCCTCAAGAAGTTATTCAAAGAACTGTGTATAATTTCAGTAGAATCGATCAACAATTAGACTGAACAAACTATTATATCAACAACAGCTCCCATGTAGTGTATCAGTCTTCTTTTTTAATAAAACGGGGACAATGCAATTTAAAGAGACAAAACAAATGGAAACAAACAGAAATCCACTTGCATAACCCTTTCCAATTCTATTATTACTCAAACAAGGAATACTAAGCATGCCCAACAATAATGATCATGTAAAATTAACTTGACAGATTACCATTGACCATGCAAAAGGCCAAGGGCTGGAGGAAATGGCAAAACAAAAGAAAGCCATTCCAAAGCTGATGTCCCACACATAATTTAATTTTCCATGCTCCCTTCCAATTGATCAAAGAATCACACAAGGAGTCCCCACTCTTTCTCATTGAGACAACCCAGCCTCAATCTCATCCCACTTGTCCCCATTCTCAGGAAACCTCTCCTTGATCTGCTTAATAAGCTCCTTGGCCTCATCCACCTTGGACACACCAGCAAGCCCATTGACAAGACTCTTCATGGTACTAAAATTCGGATACCAATTCTTCCCCATACACTCCTTAGCAACCTCCAATGCAGACTCAAACTCCCCACCCTCACACAGGAAATGAACAAGCGTAAAGTAACACGCCCCATCAGGCACAAAACCCCTCATCTTCATGTCCCTAAACAACCTCTTGGCCTCCTCAAGGTCCCCCTCTCTACAAAACCCATGAATCAAGCAATTGTAGCTAACCCAATTCGGCTTCCTCCCGTTACAAAGCATCCCCTCCATCAAAGCCTTAGCCTCAGAAGACCTCTTCAACCTACACAAACTCAGCATCCTAACATTGTAAGTACTAAGACCAGGTAAAACCCTATACTTCTCCTCCATCAGTTTCATCACCTTCCCCACATCCTCAAACTTCTCCTCCCGGTAAAAACCGGAAATCGCATTATTCAAAGTAATCACATTAGGTCTAACCGAATTCCTATCCATTTCAGCAAAAACAGAATAAACAGAATCAGACGAACCAGACTCAGCCAAGGCCTTAATAACAGTGTTGTAAGTATCGACGTTAGGTTGAATTGAATAGATTTTGGGGAATTCGAGGTAGATTCGGGATACCTCTTTGTAGTTCTTGGCGAGGATGGATGCGAAGAGAAGGGAGTTTAGGGTTTTGACGGAGCGAGGGGGAGTGAGGTCGTCGGTGAAGGTTCTGATGGCGTGGTCGAGCATGTTGGCTTGGCCGTAGAGGACGATGGCATGGGAGAGGAAGCGCTCGTTCCGGAGGTCGGGACGGGTTTTGAGGTCATCGAGGAAGTGGCGGATTCCGGCTAAGTGGTTGGCGGCGGAGAGCTTGGAGATGGCGAGGGAAAAGGCGCGGCGGTCGAGGTGGTAGTCCGGGGAGAGGGAGGCGGCGCGGCAGATGTCGAGGATGCGCTCGGGGTTGCTCTCCGATTTGAGGAGGTGGAGGGCGCTGCGAGTCTTCTGCTTCGAGGTTAGAGGAGAGGATGAGTTCGGGGAGAGGATGGAGCTGGCGGTGCTGCTCGAGTAGTGGCGGAGGCGGGACAGAACGGACATGCTTGCAGTTGCAGGCTAGGGTTTTGGACGGAGGTTTAGGGTTTAGGGTGAAGAAGAAAATGAGAGCAAACACGAGTGTGCCACTTATGCTGTGAAATGAAATGTCAACAGTACATTAAACCTCCATAGATTCTTTCAATAATTACATACTACTCACTTTATAATTTATGATTTGTTTATTAATTATTTTTAGTTTATTACAATATTTTTTTAAAAATAGTTAATGAAAAAAATTAATCTTATTTTCTCTTTTATTATCAATAAATTATGCATAAATAATTTTGTAATTAGAACAAATATGTTTATTCAATAAATATGTAACTAAGTTATTTATCTAATATTGTTTGTTTTCAATTTTTTTTTTTTACTTCAAATGACAAACATATAGTGACATAATTAGAGACAAAATTATTTCGTTGTCCTTCTATTTTTATTTTGTTCGCTATATGTAACCAACTAGTTTTTAATCTATTAAAATTGAATTTAATATTAAAAATTTACGACAATTCACATAATAATTCAATTAATTCGAACTATACTTCTTGATTGTGTACACCATGTAAGACACAAAATACATAACATACTACTTAACAATGTTTCATGGCACCTTTCTCCTCTCCCGAGTTTGTTGTAGGAAAGTCTTGACTGAATTCAATATATTTGTATTGTTTGCATAAAGGATTTAACATTGTTAAATAATTAAAAAATTATCTTTAAATAGTTTTAAAGATATTTTTATGTAATTTAACTATTTTTTTACACATTATAGTATATAATTAGATAAAATTATTTAAAAATTACATTATTATTCGTACATTTTTTATTTATTCATCTTTATTTACATGTCCTTTCTTGTCTAAAAATTTGTGTGATTTAATCCAACTATTTAATGTTTAAATAATTAATAATATAGGTAATATCATGTATAATTTTTTTCATTTTTATTTAAATTAATTGGATTTAAATAGAATGCACTATACTCATTCGTTGTCAAGTATGATGATTTTTAATTGTTATTTTGAAAGTAACATAAGATTATTTCTAATTAGTTCATAATATTTTTTTACATTAACTGTTAACGAAAATTATTATTTTAAAAAAGATACTTTTATAATTAAAAGAAATTTATTTTATTATGCCATTTTTATTGTACATAAAATGTTTTTCGCGGGTGATATTTACTTATAATAAATTAAAACAATTTTAGATCGGATGTAATTATAAAAATGAATAAAGATAAAAAAACTTGAACCTGACGTGAATCGAACACGCAACCTTCTGATCTGGAGTCAGACGCGCTACCATTGCGCCACAGATCCATATATGAGCATATATCATATTATACTTACTTAACTATAGTCTCATTCCATGGAGTGACTATCAATGTAGCGAAAAACTGAGAAGTCTCATTATAGATTTAGTGTTAAATTTAGAAAATTAATTCACGTAATTTTTAATTAATAGCGTATGTATTAATTTAAATATTTAATTCAAAATAATTTTGACAAATATATAAATTATATTTACTAGTTGAAAATATTTTTTTATTAGACTCTTAAATCCAATAAACATGTACTCAGATTTGATTCTTTTAAAATAAGAAATACATTTAAAAAATAAAATGTAATGTTGTAGTTTTTTTTTTTTATATTCATATTCTGTAACATTTTTAATAATACCAAAGCATAGTTATATCATTTCATTAATAATTGTTTAGTAGTACAAAGAAAAACATGATTGGAAATATAAAGATAGAAGTAATATCATAGGTTGGATTGAAAAAAAAATCTACAATGTTGTATTGAAATTCCTAGCTCAGATTTATTAATAATTAAATTTCTTATTTCATCTACCGCTACATTACAATCTAATTCAAATATCACACATACTCAAAGAGACAATAAATTGGATTGCATACAAGATCAATACCAATCAATTTTTGAAATAAAAATATTACCACCATAATCGCGAATTCAACAATTGATACTACAAGAAGTTTAGCTCATAAAAAAACAGCATCAACGTATAATTTGCAATTTTAACAGTACATTTTTAATTAAATCTAATTTGCATTTTACCCTTTAATGAGTCAAATTCTACAAAATCATGCACATGGTTATATGGTATTTATCTTTTGTATTTAAAGTTTTAAGTGAGAGCATAACCAGTGGGAAGGCAAGGAGTTTATCTACAGGAAAGTTCAAGATAGTTTGTCTTTATAAACTTGTCATAAACATAATAATTAGGAGTAGAACTGTAGAAGATATTTTATATTTTATTAATAAAAAAACTATGACGGCAGCAATTTCTAAATTTAAATTTAAATTATGTACAATTTTAATCGTTGAAAACAATTTTCAAGTTAATAAAGACTATTTTAAAACTAAATAAATTTAATTCATGTAACAATTTCCTTCTGTTTAAAATCCTCAAATTTATACTTTTTACTCAACCTTCATTTGAATTATTTTAATTTTTTCTACTTAAAATTCACTAGCCAAAACCTCAAATTTTATCCCAAAAAATCTCAATTTATCTTGAATTCCTGATTTCAACTCTTATATAATCCTTCAAATTTTATCAGGCTTTCACTAAATTTTTTACTTCTAAACATTTAGAATTATTTTATATATCATGTTCATGATAAATTATCAAATATTTGGATTGAAATTAAGAGAGAGAGAGAGAGAGAAAACAAATGGGCTTTAAATAGAAGAAGAGGAAGAACCCAATTTGCTTACTTAATAAGCTTAAAAAAACTTTGTGGACTAAAGGGGCAAATTATAAAATAAATATCATATCTACAAGGTGGTGTCTGACAAAAACTACAATGAGAAAGAGAGAAACTCATCCAGTTAAAACTCTTGAACATTCGACATGCCCCTTAAATCCTAAGGATTAACAAATGCACGCGAAAAAAGATGTTTTAAATCTATATATTACACGGTCAACCGCTTTGGTGTTCTGTTGCTAATCCGCTAACCATCTGATGGCCATTCAATCTTGGTGAAGTTCATCTGCAGGTGGGGGCGCAAATCTGACATTGGCAGGCCGTGCCACAACAACTGGGTCATCTGCAAATAGTGCTTTGATGAATGATGGTGTTTTTAGTGGCCTACGACCTGTCATCCGAGGATAGACATCTTCAAGAAAATAATATGCATGACCAGCAATCATTCCCTGAAAAAATGTGGTCAACAGTCACATTAGTTGTTGTTTACAATAAATGTTTAGATAGAAATCAAGTGTCCATATTAATGTAACAGAGGCATACCAATAGATCCACCCAAGCACTAGCACCAACAAGTACAGAGAACCCCAAGAGAACCTACAAGCATAAAAATTTAATGTTAGGTTGCCTTGATTATAATTTGGAACTAAAGCAAAAGACAAAGATCAATTATTTTAAGTATAAACCCGGTTTAAATGTTTATTCTATCATATAGAGCTTACGCACCCATGGAAGGTAAGCAGCAGTGAAAGTAAAGAGGCCCAGGAAACTCATGTGAATAAAGGGATTCTGTTTGCTCCACACATAAACCTGAAAAAAGACAAATTGAGCTGTACATTTGAGGTAGATTTAAACACGAGGAGTGAACCAAAAAAAAATATAAAAATGTGGCTCACCATCATAAATGTCAACGAGTTGCTAAGGAATATTATTTTTGCGAATGACTCTGATAGATAAGGTATCATCCCCCCAAGAAGAACGATTCCAGTCAATACAGTGGCACCAAATAAGAGCATGTAAAAGAAATCAGCGGTCCTTCCCCTGAACGAGTTCTCCTCAAGAAGCTTGCAGTAACGAGCAAGAAAAAACATATGAAACAGGAAATCCAAGTCTGCCCATTCAATAAGAAAATATCATGTCAAATTTCAATGTAAGATGCACAGTTTTCAAAATAAATATCAAAAGAAAATGGGACAAACACAAAAAGTTATAGGGTTATTATTAGAGGGAGTTTGGAGGGTGTCTGATAAGCACTCAAGCACTTGGGAAACCGTCCCTTAAAAGCTAGCAGTTAAGGGGGGGAGAACCAAAGTTACCAAACACTTAAACACTTCACCGAACATCTCATACTACTGGATGTGGGACTAAGGCCCGCCATAATGCCTAAGTCCCTATCAGTGTCATTGTATTTGAGGAAAACCACGGGAATGTCAAGAAATACTGAGTACATGGACATAATAAATCATAACAGGAAAATTTGAATACATATATACATCTGATAATCTAGTCCATAGGGTGTGGGCAGGATGAGGCACCATTTTATACAATAGACACCTATTTGAATTGAGAGATTTTTAACATATTAACTTGTATACATCAAATCATCAATGCAAGCTTCGGTCTCCTTCCTAGTTTACTTCTATGAGACCAGGTTGCATTTGGCAATCTAGATTGCGTACCACTGAAAAGCACCACAATCAGAAATGCATGACCTAATTTCCAATACACCAAGGGGTTCAGCAAAGTTGGTAACTATGGTCATGTGTAAATACGGGCAATAACCACACTATACTCTCCAAGCAACAAGAATTAAATATCATAAAGCAGTTACATTGCTTCTGATAAGCCAACAGATACTCATATCTTTAATCAAATAGCTTATTTCTGGGAACTATCATGTCCATAGTCATTCTCCTTATGATTATGTCTGGGATAATTGGATTGACCCCTTACCCGAATTGTAGGGATATCCCACGTATTGCAATAGCCCCTGTCCATCAGTGCTATTCTCAAAAAGTTATGATTTATTTACCACAGGTTTGGATCCATGTCTCAGTGTGACAAAAACACACATTTGGCAGACGCCACTGCACCTAGCGTTTGCTTCAACATGTCAATATGAAGCGATTCCAAACATAGCATTAATGCAATTGCTCTTGTAATGTGATTTTCATCATGTAGGGATTAAATTCATGATGCCTAAAAGAAGTCCCCACTCCTCATTTACCAGAATTAATCAGGAACGATCAATAGTCACTATCACATTCAACATAGATAAGTAACTGCCCCCAGGAGGTGGACTTTAGTATAGGTCTTCCTAAACTAGGGAAAAAATTATTTCCTCTTAGGTGGAAGCAACAAATATCTCTGTATGCATACACCAAAACTATTTGAAATGAAAACAAGTGCTCAAAACACGTTAACATAAAAAAAAAAAAAAATATATATATATATATATA